GCGTCCTCAGGCGCCACCCCCTTTCCTCGCGCGCGCGCCGCTGTACCTCTGCACTTCACCTCCGCAGCGCCTCTGGCTCTCAGCGTGCTTTTCTTTCCTTCTAGTTGTGGAATTTACACTCAGCCAGCCTTCCTGTTGTTCTGGATGATGTTTGCTCAGTCCTTTGGGGTAATTTTCAATTGTTGTGTGAGGCAATAATTTCCCGGTGTTTACCTATGCCGCCATCTTAGTTGCTCCCCCTGTAGTTTTCAGTATATAAGTCTTTCACGGTCTTTGTTAAGTTTATTCCTAGGTATTTTATTCTTTTGGTTGGAATTGCAAATGGAATTTCTTTTTCCCATTTCTTTTTCTGAAGTTTTGTTGTTAGTATACAGGAAGGCAATGGATTTTTGCACATTGATTTTGTATCCTGCAACTTGACTGCATTTGTTTATTGTTTCTAATAGTTTTTTGGTAGAGTCTTCAATTTTTTGGAAGAGTTTGAGAAGGATAAGTTTTAAGTCTTCTTTGAACATTTGGTAGAATTTACTGGTGAAACCATCTGGTCCTGGACTTTTGTTTTTGTTGTTGTTTTTCTGGTTGTTTTAATGTCCTCACTGCTGACTGTTCTATTTAATTTTTTCAATTCTCCATGATTCAGTCTATGATTATATACTTCTAGAAACTTACACATTTCTTCTAGGTTATGAATTTGGTGGTGTATAATCTTTCATAATATTCTAGTATCCTTTGTATATCTGTGATGTCTGTGGTAATTTTTTCTCTCTCATTTCTGATTTTGTTTATATGGGTCTTCTTCCTTTTTTCCTTAGTTAGTCTAGAGGTTTGTCAATTTCATTAATCTTTTCAAAGAACCAGCTCTTTGTTGTATTATTTTTTGTATAGTCTTTTTGTTGTCTATTTCATTCAATTCTGCTCTAATTTTAATTATATCCTTCCTTCTACTGACTTTGGGTTGCTTTTGTTCTTCCTTTTCTAGTTCTATAAGGTGTAATGTTAGGTTGTTTACTTGGGATTTCTCTTGTTTTTTGAAATAGGCCTGTAATGATATAAACTTCCCTCTTATTATGCTTTCCCTGCATCCCAGATGTTTTGACATGTTGTATTGTCATTCTCATTTGTCTCTATATATCTTTTGATCTCATCTTTTATTTCTTATTTGACCCAGTCATTTTTGGTAGTATGTTGTTTTTTTGTGTTTTGTTTTGTTTTGGTTTTTTCCCCACTTTATTTATTTATTTATTTTTGCTATGAACTCTTTTTTTTTATTATTGCAAAGTATTACAAAGAGTATTACATATGTCTCCTTTTTTTCCCCCGCCCTTGACAATCCCCTGGCCTCCCCTAACCCCCAGTGTCTTATGTCCATTGGTTATGCTTATATGCATGCATACAGGTCCTTCAGTTGATCTCTCACCCTCCCCCTCCTGCCCCCCAACCCTCCCCGGCCTTCCCGCTGTAGTTGGACAGTTTGTTTGAGGCAGCTCTGCCTCTGTATCTATTTTTGTTCATAAGTTTACAATGGTCTTTATTATCCATAAATGAGTGAGAGCATGTGGTATTTTTCCTTCATTGACTGGCTTATTTCACTTAGCTTAATGCTCTCCAGATCCATCCATGCTGTTGCAAATGGTAAGAGTTCTTTCTTTTTTACAGCAGCATAGTATTCTGTTGTGTAGAGGTACCACAGTTTTCTAATCCATTCATCTACTGATGGGCACTTAGGCTGTTTCCAGATCTTAGCTATGGTGAATTGTGCTGTTATGAACATAGGGGTGCATATATCCTTTCTGATTGGTGTTTCTGGTTTCTTGGGATATACTCCTAGAAGTGGGATCACAGGGTCAAATGGGAGTTCCATTTTTAGTTTTTTGAGGAAACTCTATACTGTCTTCCATAGTGGCTGCACCAGTCTGCATTCCCACCAGCAGTGCACAAGTATTCCTTTTTCTCCACATCCTCTCCAGCACTTGTCGTTTATCTTTTATTTCTTATTTGACCCAGTCATTTTTGGTAGTATGTTGTTTAAGCTCCATGTATTTGTGGGTTTCTTTACTTCCATTTTGCAGTTGATTTCTAATTTCAAGGCATTGCCATCAGAGAATATGCTTGGTATAATTTCAATCTTCTTGAATTTATTGATACTAGTTTTGTGACCTAATATATGGTCTATTCTTAAGAATGCTCTATGTGCACTTGGGATGAAAGGTTCTGTAAATGTCAATTATGTCCATTTGGTCTAGTGTTTCATTTAAGGCCAATATTTCTTTATTTGATCTTTCTAGAGCTGTAAAGGAGTATTGAGATCCCCAACTATGATTGTGTTTTGATCTGTTTCTCCCTTTACTTCTGTGAGTAGTTGTTTTATATATTTCAGTGCTCCCCGGTTGGATGCATATATATTAAGAAGTGTTATGTTTCCTTGATGTAGTGTCTCCTTTAGCACTATAAAGTGCCCATCTTTGTCTCTTATTATCTTTAAATCTATTTTGTCAGATATAAGTATGGCTACATGTGCTTTCTGTGGATGTTATTTGCTTGGAGAATCATTTTTCACCCTTGTACTTTGAATCTACCAGCTGAGCCGAGAGTTCCCAGCTGCAGAGCTGCATCTGTGGACTGGGTGCACTTTCCTCCCTTCTCATTTCCCCATTTATTCCCGAATGCCCATCTTTTGATGTTTCAAAGTGCAGGTCTCTCAGGTGTGTGTCTGTGTTAAGTAGGGATTTCTTTGTTGAATTATAGTTGGTTAACTTGTTGAAATTTCAGGGGGAGAGGACAATGTGTGCTCTCACGCCGCCATTTCTCTCCCATCACTCAACATGAGAGCCTTATATATTCTTTTGTTTTAAAATTTCTAACTTAAATTCTAGTGTGACAAATATGGGTGGATATAACCACATTAGTAAAGCTCTATGGAAGTATGCAATAACCTTTCATAGTATGAAGGGGAGGCTAACAGTTGCTTTCAGGATGTGGACTTTGGTGATTTCGCAGTGTAAATATTGAATGCATGACAACTGTGCTGCAGAAGAATGTTTTACTTTAGAGAGAATCTGGCAAGCCTTTTCTTCATTTCTGAGTGTTCTCTATTAACATGGCATGTGTCCTGTTGCTTTCATTGATAAATCTGAGTGCTTGGTATTGTTGTTACTGACCCAATAGCAAAAGAAAATGTCTAATATTGAGAAAGGCTATTTAAAATTTCCAAGGTCATCCTCATAGCAGAAAATAATCTTTTTTATTAATGACTGCAGTATGCATCCTATAAGGTTTTGCTCTTCCGACTAGCATTTAGAAATATATATTTATTACATTTAACAGTATTTGGAAACACATAGGTTCCCTCTTCCCATGAATTGCAGTCTAAAAATGCTACCAATGCTAAAATTGGCTTAGGGGGGAAACAAAAGAAAAATGTAATTTCACACCTGGTTTGCATATAAATGCCAGGCCACAGAAGTGTCATTTTTACATGGCCAATGGTGACTTTTTTCCACGTTTGTAGCCTTCACCTCACTTTGTAAAACATAGGGATTCATTCAACACATATCGAAGTTATTGCCCTGCTTGCCTGAAGGGTTAGCCTAGGATGGAGACCAGGACCTGGAGATTGCTTGTCCTTTGGCTTTGAGATCCACAGAAAGCTAGAAGGACAAGTTCTGTATTAAATGTTAAGGACTTAAATTCTTTTAGTTTTGACTATTGAACTGTTTTAGCTGCATTACTATGTATTTATGGATTACGTAAATCACAACTGAGTTGTACATAGTAAATACTCAGCGAAGAGCTATCGGGCCTGTAAATACAAAGAATGCGCCTGCCATCCCCTCCCCCCTCTCCCCTAATCAATAATCAATCAGCATTCTTTGTCACAGAGCCTTAGAAACCTCAGCACAGCTAACATCAAGAAGAGCCACATGCAGATGAAAACGTATTTTCCACCTTGGGCTTCTGCCATACTACCGATCTAATTTTACCAGTAGAGGCAGCTTTTAATTTTCATACATTTAGAAATAGTTAAGATGGAAAAGGTAGAGTAGCAATACAAGTTATTGCTTAAATGTATCCACTATTTCTTCAAGAAAAAAAAATCAAGTGAACTGGAAAAATGAAATTGCATTTCTAAGTTTTCAGTGTTTTGTTTGTACAAACTAGCAAATGGAGTGGGTTTTTCACTTCCAGGTTCAAGTTTCCTGGTGTCTGTACAGTTCCTAGAGAGCTAAGTGGTGTCTGGAGCTCTTGTCAGGATGGGAAGTTGAACAAATCCAAATGTCCTGACCTTTAGGTTTATTCCTGTGACCTAATGGAAAAAGTGTGACGCTTTGGAAGAAAGGACTCAAATGCATATTCTCATCACCCTGAATCAAAAGATTGCATGAAAGGACCAAACAGTCCTTGGCAGACAGCCATTTGCCTTCAGAAAAATCTTACTATTAAAACACTTTCCTTCCCATTCTAATCAGTATTATTTCTTTTTTGTTGCTCATGAGAATAAAATAGCTACATCCTTTTCACAGGCCATTGAATAAAATAAGCTTCTCAACTCTTTTCAGCTGTGTTTCAGGCTGTCAGACAAGGCAGTGTTAAAGCCCAATACTACAGAACTCATGCTGAACTTGCTCTGCCCTACCGTGTAGGCTGCTAAAATCCTTGGCATTAGTATACACATCAATTTGGAGTCTTCCTTTGATTTTGTTTGTGTCCTGGGCAATATTGACCAAAGACCTGGCACACAGCGATAGGGTATATAACACATGGTCTAGCATATATTCTAACTTAGTGCTTCTCAAACTTTAATGTGTATACAGATTACCAGGGAATCCTGCTAACTTGCAGATTCTGACCTGCTAAGTCTGGGGCAAGGCCAAGAGTCTGCAGTTCTAACAAGCTTCTCTGTGAGGCTCTACAGCTGGTCTGCAGATCACACTTCAGCACAAAGTGCTTTTTACTTCTCTGTACTTAAACTGCCCAATTGGTTTTGTTTTCACTCTAACAAGGTGACAAAGACTTCAGGCTTGAGACCAATGGAACCAAGAGATGTCAAAGCAGTTCGAGAATTAACCAACAGTTACCTGAAGCAGTTTCACCTTGCCCCGGTGATGGATGAAGAGGAAGTAGCCCACTGGTTCCTCCCCCAGGAGCACATTATTGACACGTTTGTAGTGGAGGTAAAGATAAGGTGATATGATGGGTCAGAGAAATAGGAAGACACTATATGCCACAGTCCGTTTTCCAGAAAGATCACACCGTGCCATCTTTCCTCTTCCTCCATGACTTGCCGCTTCTATACCAGATTTCTGCTCACCCTGCTAGAACCAGGTTTTCTTCATACAGTTTCCATTACTAGATAAAAGCACACTTTTACTACTTATGAATGGGAAATCACTATACTTTTCTGTTGCTACCTGTGTTATTAATTGTTTTTCTCATTTTGCAAAAAAAGCCAATTTGGATGACCTCCTTTGTGATAGATACATTCCAAAGTTTAATATTCCTTTGGTTTTGCAAAATTGGAACTGAACTGCATTTGGTTAAGATTAAGCCACTTAATCCAAATGAAGGAAGGAAAAGTAACAGTTTAGATTTTCTAATTATTGGTTAGATGAGTTTAACAGTGATTTTTAAACCATGTTTTCAGAAGCTTAGAATTGGTTGTGCAAATGCTACTTCGCTTAAAAGCTCTTTTGGTGGAAGTAAGGTGAAGTTGAGAAGCTGGGATTTAAACTGGTGAGTGCCTGGAGGAGAGAAAGGAGCGAGGAGGTGCTGTAGCAGTCCCTCCACTATTTGTTGTGAGAATTGAGCCGAAAGTGTATTTTCAGCATTGTCAGGCATTGTTTGAATGTAAAATTACGGCCAACTTAGGGCAGTAATGGTAGGAGCAGACAGAGTGAATTCAGAGGACATTTCTGAAAAACAGTTGAGCAGTCTTTGTTTTTAAACTTTTTTTTCTGAAACAGTGCTGGGGTGGATATCTTTGTGTACAAATCTTTATGCACTTCCGTAAGTTTCTCCAGAGCAGCAGTTCTCAAAGTTTTTTTAATCTCAGGACTCCTTTACTCTTTTAAGAATTATTGAGCTTTTTATTTTTGTGGATTATATCTACAGATATATACGGTATTCAAAAGTAAAACAAATTTTAAATATTATTTTGTAAGTCAGACAAAGCCAAATACCATATAATGTCACTTATATAGGGAATCTTTAAAAACAAAACAATCTCATAGGCACAGATAACAGATTGTTGGTTGTCAGAGATGGGAAGAGGGAATGGGTGAAGGTGGTTAAAGGTATAAACTTCCAGTTATAAAATAAGTGAGTCCTGGGGATGTAATGTGCAGCATAGTAACTATAGTTATGATACTGTATTGTATATTTGGAAGTTGCTAAGAGAGTAGATCTTAACAGTTCTCATCACAAGAAAAAAAAACTTGTAACTATGTGAGGTGATGGATATTAAGTAGACATTGTAGTGATCATTTCATAATATGCACATAAATCATATTCATATTAAATTAATGTAATGTTATACATCAATTATATCTCAGTTAAAAAAGAAAAACAAGAAATAATTGGAAAAAACATATATTATTTAATAACCATATAACAATAGTAAACCCATTACATTTTACCTAAATGACATATTTTATATGACAAATAACTTTTCCAAAGTAACAAAATTAGTGAAAAGAATGGTATTGTATTATATTATATTATTGCAAGTCTCTTCTTAAATGTCTGACTTAATAGAAGACAACTGAGTTCTCACATCTTCTGCATTCAGTCTATTGTGATATATTGATTCAATATTTTGATTGACGTATATAAAAAAAAATCCTTCACACAGAGTATTGGAGGTATGAAAAAGAATGAGTATTTTAATAACCTTTTCAGGTAATTGTGGATATTATGTATCTCAAATCATATTAATGAACTTTTGATACTATTAGATTAAAATCCATTGGTCTATCTTGTTTTTTTGTTGTTAATCTTCACCTGAGGATATTTTTTCCCTTGAATTTTTTTTTTTAAGCTAGAGTGGAAGGGAGGGAGGGAGTGAGAGAGAGAGCAAGAAAGAGAGAGAAACATCGATATGAGAGAGATACAGCGATTGGTTACCTCCTGCATGTTCCCCCGCTGGGGATCTAACCTGCAACCCAGGTACATGCCCTTGAACAGGAATTGAACCCTCAACCCTGCAGTGCACAGGCCAGTGCTCTAACCACTGATTCATGATGATGAGGGCAGTTCTAGTAGTTTTTTGGTGGAATCTGTAGGGTTCTCTATGTACAGTATCATGTCATGTGCAAATAATGACAGTTTTATTTCTTCCTTTTCTATTTGGATGCCTTTTATTTCTTCTTCCTGTCTGGTTGTTGTGGTTAGGACTTTAAGAGTAGTAAAAGCAGATATCCCTGTCTAGTTCTTCATCGAAAGGGAAACGCTTTTAATTTTTGACCATGGTGCTGTCTGTGGGTTTGTGATATATGGCCTTTATTATGTTGAGGTGTGTTGACTCTATTCCCACTTTGCTGAGTTTTTATCACAAATGGGTGCTGGATTTGATCAAATAATTTTTATACATCTATTGATATGATCATGTCATTTTAATCATTCATTTTGTTTATGTGATGTGTATTAGGTTAATTGATTGGATATTGTACCAACTTTGCATCCCCGGAATAAATCCCACTTGATCATGGTGTATGATCTTTTTAATGTACTGCTGGATACGGTTTGCTGATGTTTTGTTGAGGATTTACGCATGTATGTTCTTTCTTTGTAGTGTCTATTTGGTTTTGGAATTAAGTTAATGCTGGCCTCATAAAGTTAGCTTAGGAGTCTTCCTTCCTCTTGAATTTTTTGGATTTGTTTGAGAAGAATAGGACTTAGTTCTTCTCTGAATGTTTGGTAAAACTTACCTGTGAGGCCATCCAGTCCAGGACTTTCGTTTGTTGGAAGTTTTTTGATTACTGCTTCAATTTCACTAGTTGTATTATGTCTGTTCAGATTCTCTGATTCTTCTGTATTCAGTTTAAGATTATATATTTCTAGGAATTTATCCACTTTGTCCATATTGTTGGCATATAGTTGTTTATAATGTTTCTTACAATCCTTTGTATTTCTGTATTCAGTTGTTACTTCTCTTTCATTTCTAATTGCCGGGAGCCGGTCCATGCTTGCTGTTTCAAGGGACCTGGCATATATGGCATACTGTTCTTAATATGTTTGCTCACCTTCTTGGCACTATGTGTTTTAACCAAGGTCTCTGAGAAAGGTTGTTTCCCCAGGTAGGGATTTTCCCCTGAAGTTAGGGAGGGAATAAAACCTCTTAACTAGTGCCAGGTGGGTAATTAATCACTTTAACTACGAACAATCATGCTTAAGCTACATAATCTTTACTCCCTGGAATGGAGATAAGAAACGCCCTAACCTTTGTAATAGAGATTGATAGGATTGAATCAACTGGTATAAATACAGATGTAATAAGACAGTAAGACACAGAACTTAGAATACGGAACCAAGAGAGACAGAACCTAGGCACAGAACCTACACAGAACGTTCTCTAGAGACAGAAGAACTTCGCTGGAGAGAACATGGCAAAAGTTCCTGGACAGAAACTGGCCTCAGAACCTAGAGACAGAACATAGCGAGAGAACATGGCAAAAGATCCTGGACTGAACCTGACTACAGAAATTGGCAAGAGAACCTGACTAGAACCTGGCTACAGAACCTGGCTGGAGAACCTGGACTGAACCTGGCTGGAGAACCTAGCAAGAGAACATGGATACAGAACCTGGTTGGAGATCCTAACCAGAACTTCGCTGGAGATCCAGGGCAGAACTTCTGGAGATCCAGACCAGAACTTGGATGGAGATCCTGGCTGGAGATCCTGGCTAGGCTGCTGATCAACTGAACGCTGTCTCCGTGTCATTCCTTCTTCGCTGACTCTGTCCACACCTTTGGGGACCCCTGGACCCGCTGGGGTTGGACCCCGGTATCTAATTTTATTTATTTGGGTTCTCTCTTTTTTTCTTGATGAATCTGATGAAAGGTTTGTCATTTGTTTATCTTTGTAAAGAACCAACTCTTGGTTTCACTGATCTTTTGTATTTTTTTAGACTCTATTTTATTTATTTCTTCTCTGATCTTTATTATTTCCTTCCTTGTACTCACTTTGGGCTTTGTTTGTTGTCCTTTTTCAATTTCCTTTCAGTGTAAAGTTAGATTGTTTACTTGAGAATTTTCTTGTTTCTTGAGGTAGGCCTGTAATGCTATTAATTTCCCTCCAAGGACTGCTTTCACTGTCCCATAGATTTGGGGTTGTTGTGTTCTCATTTTCATTTGTTTCAGGGTATATTTTAATTTCTTCCTTGATTTTATTGTTAATCCATTCCTTGTTTAGTAACATATTGTTTAGCCTTCATGTTTTTGTGTGGTCTTCATTTTTTTTCTTATGATTGATTTCTAGTTTCATACCATTATGGTTAGAGAAGATGCTTGATATGATTTCAGTCTTATATTTATTGAGATTTGTTTTGTGTCCTAACATGTGGTCTATACTGGAAAATGCATGTGGGAAATATGTGTGTTTCCTGCTGCTTTGGGGTGAAATGCTCTGGAGATATTAATTAAATCCACCTAATCTAGTATGTCATTTAAGGCCACCATTTCCTTGTTGATTTCCTGTCTGTGAGATCTATCCATTGATGTCAACGGGGTGTTAAAAAATCCCCTATGATGACTGTATTACTATTAATCTCTCTCTTTATGTCCATCAAGATTTGCTTAGGTGCTCCTATGTTGGGTGCAGAAATGTTCTCAAGGGTTATATCCTCTTGTTGGATTGCTCCCTTTATCATTATGTAATGTCCTTCTTTGGCTCTTACTATAATCATTGTTTTAAAATCTGTTTGGTCAGATATAACTATTGGTACCCCAGCTTTTTCCTTTCATTTGCATGAAATACCTTTTTCCATCCCTTTACTTTTAGTTTGTATGTTTCTTTTGTTCTGACGTGGATCTCGTGTAAACAGCATATATGTGGGTCTTGTTTTCTTATCCATTCAGCTACCCTGTGGCCTTTTGATTGGAGCATTTAACTATTTTTCTTTCTTTCATTCATGCATTCATTCATTTCATTTCATTTTTAGGGGATGTTTATTAAAGC